TTCACAAAGTACGTAACACAAGGGGGGGGGGGGGGGGGGGGATCAGACAAAGTGTTACGATTTGCTACGGGGGGGAGGGGGGAGGGTTGCACGAATGTCACGTAACAGGTTTTTTTCATTAAAAAATAAATAAATTATGAGACTGGAATTTCTTATTAGAAGGTTAATTGTTTAGTAGCAAATCGCTCACACGACACAAGAGCCAACCCTACTACCCACCCGCACTCACTATCCTTACAGTGGAGTGGGCATTGAGAGCGTGGGAAAGTCTGTTGACTTCCCTCTCCCCTGTTGCAAAACTTGCTAAGTCGCAATTTCATACCTGGACCTGCACAGACAGGCCAAACAGACTTAGTTACCCTTTAGACGTTGCCCTCGTTCATCTCTCTCTCTGCATCGCGATCTCTATTTCTACCATTCTACCCAACATTTCCCCGTCTCCTATTACTCTTTTTTAAAATCTCAAATGGGTGATCATCAATCAAAATGAGTATAAACAAAAGAAAATTATTTCCTTGAACCGAATGAAAGAAAAAACTTTCCTTTCCTTTTTTAAAACATTTTAATCATCTCTCAATGTGGGTAATCCAGAGTGTTACTTGTGAGTGTTTAATAAACGAGTTTCTTTTTAAAATGCATTTTCCTTGTTAATTTATCTTGTTATTGAAAAAAATTATGAAGGAGGGGGGGGTCATATTTTATCACGTAATTTTATTGGGTCGAAGCTTTTGTTACGGAGTGTTACTAGGGAGGGGGGGGGGTGTTAAGAAAAAGATTTTTTAAAAGTCACTTTACGTAATTTGTGAACGGCCCCTTGGGTGAAATCCACAAGGCAGGTGTTTAAATGAATCCCTTTCTGCGCCTTTTGGGTTGCCATAAGGTCATCCGGACTCCGGTCATCCGAGACATCCGAACTTTTCTGACTTTGGAGTCCTTTCTTTCTCTGGATCCATGAAGAAATTCCCAGGTGGCAAAAATGCGTTGGGTCCATGCCGCCGTCGGCCCAACGTAAACATGCCGACGGGCGATAAAATATGGAAAGTTTTCCGAGAGGAGTAAACCTTTCCCACGTCTCATGTCAGATCGGTATGAGTAAGTACTGGAAGTGTCCCGAGTCATTCCGTGATACGGAACTTCCGTTCTAAAATTCCTATGCTAAGATTCAGCAATATATAAATAGTACCTTTACCGATGCTTAACTTCTACAAACACTTCCTAGTCGCTCAAACTTCCAATCGGAATAGTTGCACTCAGACATGACAGATCTACAGCATCACTGAGACGATTACTCAGCGATTTTGACAGAGTATCCAAAAAATTTCGCTTACCCCAATGTGTCTTCTAGTTTTACATTAAAGAAAAGCATTACCTGTCCTCTCTATAAAACTAAATAGAAAAACAATGAGTTTATAGATTCCAGGCTCATTGCCGGGACACCAGGGCGACATCTATGTTCTACGACACGCACGCACATAGTCTCCCCACACAGGTCGCCCATGCCTAGAGGATGATTCTACAGTCATTCACAGGCCACGAACGCTTCCGCATCAGCGCGGTTCAGTTGAATGGATTCCACCCTCGCCTCACCTCACAGCCGGTGAGGCCTGACTGTGGACATGTATAACTTTTACTCATTTGTAGTTGCTTCAGCCTGACCTCGGCAAACTCCCCGAACCCGATGCAAGAGAGAACCCGAGTTCTGGCGTCACTGTACTGCCATCTCGGCTCTGGCATCCCTGTCTCCCTCGCTGGAGACCCTGGAGTCGGGCAGAAGCGTCGGAGCACCGCCTCGACCTCTCGTCGGCGTAAGCTTTCCTCGAAAAATTTTCTCTTCCGGTTTCGTCAACCAATCGATAATGCATTAATCTAGCCATCTATGCACTGCATTCCAGTGCGGATAAAGCAGTCCTCAACGAATTATCCAATCCAAATCCTTTCACTCATAATGAATGTATATTGAAAACATATGAGCTTACTTTAATTTTATTCAGGGAGATTTTGAATCTCCCGAGCGGGACGCAGAATTTCGATTTCGGGTTTATTCGTAATTCTTCCATCATTTTGCTTTCGTCACAGAAGTAAAGGGAATTTTCTTTTAGGTTTGGCCCTTGAAGCATCGACGCCTTGAGGCACCTTGATGTCTCAATCCTCAATCCTCAATCCTCCATCACATCAATCGATGATTGATGTGATGGAGGACGGATATAATGAATGATTGATGCAACAGATGTAATGTGGAGGAAAAGACGAACCAGTGACGTGAATGCTCACAGCAGTGTCTCGTTCTCGTTCTATTAAAAATGGCCTTCTAAGAATTCTCTTTCAAGGCCTTTCCACTAAAAATAGTCGGAATATTTTTTAGGGAAAAGGCCTTGAAACAATTTTTTGTCTGAAGACAAATTTTTCGTCAGAGAAACCTTCCTATTATTATTCCTATTCCTAATTATTAACAATCACGCAACATCCAGTCGGTTTCAATCAACCCGCGGATCGATCAAAATTCAAGAGGGAAATTCGAAATTCCCCGAATCCCAAAAAATCCTTGGTCATGTTGGAAATCTCTGGAGGCAATACCGTCGGCTCATTGCCTCCGCCCACCTCATCCGTTAAAGTATTTATCCACACCAAATGGGTTTCGTGTACTGGGATTTGGGATTTCCCCTTCTAAACCTGTTGAGACACACACTAAAATTCACCTTCTACACTAAATTTCACATCCGAAACAAGTATTACAACGCAAAAAGAATACAGTTTCACCAAAAGAATACAGTTTGAACGTGGAAAAATAAAATACTACGTTTCAAAATGAATGAATAAATTAATTTATTCATTCACTCTCAGTGCCAACCGGTGAAGGGCGAACACGGAGAGACACAGCCACTAAATTCATAAAGGGGGGTGGAAAGGGAGGAAGAGGAAAAGGGATGAATGGGGTGGGAGGGGAGGAATAGAAGGGATGAAAGGGGTGGGAGGGAATAAAGACCCAACGATGGGATGGGGATTTATACCTTATCAAGGTTCTCAATCTGTGCTTCGTCCGACCATGAAGTCGGAAGCGTTTTCAATGCAAAATCTTCCTTCTTTCCATGGTAATTCAGTCCACGTTATTTAAAGGTGATTTCTGCTCCCCCCCCCCCTCTCCATGGCATTCTTCCTCTTCCGTCTGCAGAGCAGCTGTCTTTTCAGTTGAGCCCCAGCTCGTATATCTAGTGTTGACAATAAACCCATTCATTCATCGGATTGGCCCTGTCGTTGTCCTGCGATGTCGGTTCGTGGGATTTGGCGTGCGACCAGATGCTAGACAGACTGTGGGAATTGCACGGGTCTGTCAATTTCCCGAATATTAGAACAAATTTGCATAACAAAATGCTGCGAATATAATTTGATGTAGTTTGGATCTTGTTCACAAGATCACACTTTCAAAGGGCTTCCATTTTCTCTCATTTATAAAAATAAAATTCATGCTCATCTTAAATATTGTACATGGCTTAGGTATTATTAAATCTTTTAAATTTTCTCCTCAAGTCACTCAAAACCTTTATGGGCATTTGTGATGAACTCAAAGAAGACTGTTCTTTTTTTTTGACACGCTTTATTGTGAAACCAGCCCTTGTGGACGCGGGTGCCCGGCCGATTGATGATATTGGCACCCACCTCACCTACAAGGAAGTTAATCAAATTTATGCAGTCGTAAGGTACAAGGACCTACTTCATCGTCGACCTGAGACAAACTTCCTGTCGATGTAACTCCATCTCCGCAGACCAGAAGAGTGAAATCCTTTCCCAGAAGCGCGGATACACGAATGTCGAAGACCGCAACCGATGACAACGTCCTGGCACGCTCGCGTGTCAGACAAAGCCGGGTGGGGAGGAATCCGATCCACGAGCTTCCCTCGACTGTACCTTCGTAGACGGTACATACGAGAAGAATGGAGGAAGAAAACGAGGAATGCGGCCGTCTGCGGATCCTCCACGTGGGGATCCTCCGAATCAAGGAAATCCATCCACTCGACAGAATTTTTCCCTTGAAAACTTTTTCTAACTTAAACTTTGACCAGGTCCGGACTCACGGCAGAAAAACTAGCGTACAACTTGGATTATTAATATGCTCGAGGCACTGTGAAGCGATCAATTTATACCTTTTCGGTAATTCGGATAACAGCGCCCCATTTTTCTGTCGATCCGTTCCCGACGTCTGTGAAGTCGAAATTCCGGCAGACGACTTACTCTCTTTTTATTTATTTATTTATTTATTATCGTGTTTCTCTTTGTGCGAAACTTGCTCCTTAAGAAACGGCGAGATTCTGTGTCATTTTCCAACAGAATCTACATCCTCTAGGGACTCAAGGATGTTAGACGGGAGACAGACTGAGAAGGGTGACGCACTAGATCCTATTTCCAAACAAAACCTGATGAGGAAGTCGTGCAAGCCTCTTGAAGAAAGCGAATTTGAATCTCGTTGGAAATCCTTGCAAGTGCAAAAATGCGAGCCCTTCTAAGGATCCTTTCAGTGCAGTTCCGGCCTTTTTTTCCCTCCTTCCCATGTGGTTGTACTCATGCAGTCATGCATGCCCTGTAAACGCATAAATACTCGTAGACGCGTGGGGAGTCGCAGACAAATAAATTTTTTTGCCGACGTCGACTGAAATATCTCTTCGCGGTTAAATTTCTCTCGAACAGGGGTCGTGCCGCATTTCTGATGAAAAACTTTGGCTGAATCGAATCGGGAACTTCACCCCTTCCCGATCCGAAACTCGATCAGGTACTTCGAGTACTCGATCTGGCACTCGATCGAAGCACAGGAAGCATTTCGGGACATGGCGGAAACGGGGGGTTACCGACCGCGACGCTTCGAACGAGTCTCCGGAATGCTCGCAGTCGCGACAGCAAGCCAGGGAAAATGTTAACGAAGGAAACTAAACTTATTTTTCAATTATCGAATAAATAAATAAATTTCTCAGGATCATCGAAGAGCGCGAGAAGGAATCAGTCGGTCATGAATGGAATCGCGAGATGAATGGAGACGCGCAGATGCATCCTCGCATCCACGTGGCTTCCCTCCTCCCCCCCATCCCCTTCTTCCCCCTTCTCCCTCTTCCCCCGCCTCCCCCATTCCCAGTCCACCTTGGGTCCCCGTGGGAACACGTCCCAAACTCCGCAACGTCCTCATCGGGTGAGAGTCCGAGCGAAACCGACCCATCGCGGTTCCGATCCGATTCTATTTTTCTTTTTTTTGTTGCAAAAACTTGTGGAAATGGCAGTAAGAAGTTTTCGATAGGAAGTCAGCCGCATGATTGAGTTTAGAGCAGATTTTCGCCATGGCATCCGTTGCCAGAGAATGGCGATTTTCTCCTCCTGAGTTTCGCAAAACGACAGTTGCTTTTTTTTTTTTTTACAAAATTGGAAAATTCTGCAGGCATGTTTTGCAAATCCGCTTTGACACGTGCTCCAAGTTTCGCCTCGCGATTCATAGCCGCGGAAACGCGTGCTGCTGGGATTGCCGCCGGAAAGGCTGCCGATCTTTGCCGATCGCTTCACACGCGCGAAAAATTTGTTTTTGACTCTTGACGCAATCTCCGCTGAGATCTTTTTCCGGTCGGCAATTTGCAGATTGCAAATGCCCGCTCTCATTCAGTATTTCTGCGTGTCGAGCCAACAATGACGTAGAGTGAATCAAGTGCGAGTAGAAGTTTACTGGGCAAAATTTTTGCCTGCCAAAAAAACAGTGCCGACAGTGGCTTCTCCCACTCCTTGTCCTCATTTGTTTATTTAATTGGCAAAATAAATAATTTGCAAAATCTCAGAGTTGCAAAATCTCAGAGTTGCAAAATCTCAGCCATCCCTCGCAAATCTCTCACCTCGGCGCAAATGCGGAAGATTGCAATATTCTGCAGAAAAATAGCACAATGGAGTTTTTTTCGAATGAGCCCGAATTGTTCGTGCTGGCTTGACGCGGATCGGATGACACGCCGACCGGGGAACACGTGCTGGCTTGAGAATTTCAGCTCACCGATAGGAGGTTCAAGCTCATCTTAAGCAACTTAAGCAAAATTTCAGGCTTAGAGTGAGCATCGTTTCATTTCATAAATTGAGTAATTTGAGTAACTCAAACTGGCTTGACTGAAAACCGGTTTATAAACCACTTTTCCGTAATAGAAGAGATAAAGCGGTTCTCCATGTATTATTGTAATATATATATATATATATACATATATTTTTATTTATATTATATATATATTTAAATATTGAAATTCTTTTATACTGTAGCCTCCAGGACTCCTTGCCTCTCTCCCTTGGGAGGACAAAAGAGGCAGCCGAGAAGAAACACTCCCACGATTTTATTTGTAAAAATGAAAATAAGATTTTAACATTTATAAATATAAAATATAAAAAATAAATAATTTTTTTTTGGCACGTCGACGAAAAAAAAATCCCAATTTCCCCGTTTCAGTTTCTCTCATTTTCCGTTCCAGATTCGTGGACTCTCGGAAGATGAGAGGGTTGGTGGTCGTCTTCCTCTGCTGCGTCGTGCCCGTTCCGGCCCAGGAATTCCCCAAAAGTGGTAATTATCAATTTCTTCTTTTATCGCCTTCGATAAGACTTAATTTCAAGGGTTTTCGGGTCGCGGAGAGTCCTTGAGCTCCCCCCCCCCCCCCCCCCCCCCCCCCCCCACTCCACTTCCACCTCCCTCACCCCCTCCGGCCTCGGAATGCCCCCTCTGACTCCCCTGCATTCTGCAGCTGCCAGGGATCATGACGTCAATCGTGACGTTCGGAGAGCCTTCTGCCAATTTCCCTCCCGGGTCACCAGCTCGCCCTTCACCTCTCTCCCCCTCCCCCTCCCCTCCCCCTCCCCCTCCTCTCCTCCTCCCCTCCCCCTTTCCCCCTTCACCTCCCTCCACCCTCTTAAATGAGCTCGCATTCCGTTCTTCCGGAAAAGCCTCTCTTTGGCTTCCGACTTCTGCGGTGTGCAGCACGTGCTACGGCGCCGAATTCCAGAAATGCGTAACACCTGTGATGTTTAAGCACACGTGTTGGAACTGTTTCCATACGAAAAGTGAGAAAAGTATTCTCTGTTGAAGCTCATCATCGGTGTAAATTACGCCCTCGATTCAACTGTACAGTCCCTGCTGAATTCCTGAGACTTTTCTGGCAACTGCCCTCGTGCTCGTAGTCACTCCCAAGTAGGGTCAACATATTTTGGACCGCCAAAAAGAGGAGGCCCAGCAGTCTGACAGAAATTTGAAGACGAAGAAGGATTACATGTTCGGAGAAAATATCCGGACGTACAGTAACCAATAACCACTTCCTCCCAGACGGAAAGCGAAGAAAGAGAACAAGTCCGGGAAAAAACCGGACGTAAGGTAAACCTACTCCCAGGCAACTGCCCTCATGCTCATATTATCGTCCAGGCAACTGCCCTCATGCTCGAGGGGAAAATCTAATGCAATGCGATGCAAAGAGGAAACTTGCCGACTTGCGCTGTGCCTTCATAACAGGTCTAATTTCCTCATTCGTTAAAGGCAGTTCATTCTAGAAAATTACAATTGACGTCAAACGAGTAGGTGGAATTTCTTTTCAAATCAGACCGGCACATTATGCATTTTCCGAAGAAGGAAAAAGCGGAGAAATTACCTTCATCCGGTTGTACTCGGTTGGTACACTTGGGTGAAACGCCCCCTCAACCAATTATCCTTCTCATGCGCTATTTGCCCCCTTCCCCCCCCCCCCCCCCCCCCCCCCCCCCCCCCCCCCCCCCCCCCCCCCC